ATTTACCAATAGATGGACAATTTCAATCAGTTAAGTGAAGGAAGCAGTCATCAACAGTGCTATCCAGCAGTACCTGCTCAGTGGCAACCAGTTTGGGTTCCGCCAGGGCCACCTAACTCCTGGCCTTACCACAGCCTTGGTTCAAACATGGATAAACAAGCTGAATTCAAGAGATGAGAGGACAGCGACTGGCCTCGACATCGAGGCCACGTTTGACGAGTGTAGCATCAAAGAACACTAGGGAAAACCTGCATCAATGGAAATCAGGTGGAAGCCTCTGTGCTGATTGCAGTCATACCTGGCACAAAAAATGATCGCTATGGTTGTTGGAAGTCAGTCATCTCAGCTCCTGGACACCTCTGTAGGAGTTCCTCAGGGTAGGATCCTAGGCACAACCACCTTCAGCTACTCTATCAATGACCTTCCTTCATTATAAATTCAGAAGTGAAAATGTTCACCAATGACTGCACAACATTCAGTGCCATTCACAACTCCTCAGATACTGAAGCAAGCCATGCAGCAAATTCTAGACAATATCCTGGTTTGTACTGAAAAACGGCAAATAACATTTATACACAAGTGCCAAGCTATGGCCATCTCCAATAAAAGACAAAGACAAAGACAAAGACAAAGACAATCTGTTGGCCCTTGACATTAAATAACATCACCATCACCGAATCCCCACTATCAACACCCTGGGAATTACCATTGACCAGAAATTCATCTGGACTCACCATATAAAGATAGTGGCTACGAGAGCAAGCTAGAGGCTAAGAGAACAGTAATGAATAACATCTCTCGATTCCCCAAAGTCTGTCCACCACCTACAAGGCATAAATCAGGAATACTCCCCACTTGTTTAGATGAATGCAGCTCCAACAGCAATCAAGAAGCTCAATACCTTCCAGAACACAGTAGTCTGCTTGATTAGCATCAAATCCACAAACATCTACTCCCTCCACCACTGACATTCAGTAACAGCAATGTGTACTATTTACAAGATGCACTGCAGAAATTTTCTAAGATTGCCTAGATAGCACCTTCCAAATCCACAACCATTTCCATTTGGAAGCACAAGGGCAGCAGATACATTAGTCACAACTACATGCAAGTTCCCTTCTAAGCAATTCACTATCCTGACATGGAAAGCTGTCACCTTTCCTTCAGTCTCATTGGATCAAAATCCCGAAATTTCATCCATAAAGGCATTGTAGGTTTACCAATAAAAGATGGAATACAGTGGTTCAAGGAAGCAGCTCACCATCACTTCTTAAGGGTAACTAGGGACAGGCAACAAATGCCCAACTATCCCATAGTGAATAATTTTAAAAAAACAATAATTTTCAATCTCTATCAAAGTTTTAACTAGAAAAGACTGATTTCTTTTGAGTCTGATTTGTAGGAAATTATATTCATCAATACTATCAGAGATTGTTACTATTTGACGAGGAGGAGGCTCAACCATGAAAATACAACAAGCAATGACCAATCCCATCAATGAAAGATGGGAGGGATACAATGTGATGAGCAGATGGATAAGAGATCACAAATATGAGCAAATAGAGATCCAAATATTCAAAACATTGTTCTTGATAACGCAATACCACTATTTTCAGTCAAGCTTCAAGCGTCTTAATGGATCACTGAATTTGAAAATGACAAACACAGCATTATATATTCTTTTCAATTTAATGTAATTTTAATAACCTCATCTATAATGCAGGTGGAGTATAATTTTGGAAAATGAAGTCGTTTACCTTGTCAGGAAGGATAAAAGAACCAGTATTACTTAAAATGGAGAATGCCTATGGAATGCCAAGGAGCAGAGGGATTTAGGTATCTAGTGCATGAATCACAAAGGTTAGCATAGAGGTGCAGCACACCATCAAGGTTGGCTAATGAGAGAACCGAACAATTAAAGGAAACGTTATTCTTCAGTTATACAGGACATTATTGAGATATCTTGAACACCATGTGCAGTTTGGTCTCCTTAATTAAAGCTTTTCATTGAATTTCAGTACACATGACAATAAAATCAATCACGATGTAAATGCGTTGGAGGCAGTTCAGAGAGAGTTTAGATTGATATTGGAATGAGTGATTGTCTTATTAGGATAGGTTAGACTGCTGGGCCCGTTTCCACTGGAGTTTAGAAGAGTTAGGGTGGACTTGGTTGAAGTATCTAACATCCTGAATGGTTTTGACAAGAATTAGTAAGGAAATGAGATTTCATGTTTGACTTATTTTTAGTTAGAATAATACAATTAAAAGTATATTTATTGATTAGTATATTGTCATATATTCTGCTTAATTGTAGCCAATGCAGATCTTAGCACTAACACTGTGTGACTCTGATTTGTCACTTGACAAAGAAATGCACCATGGCTTTGTGAACAGAGTGAAGACAACAGATTAATATTTTAGAGTTGCAGCATCCAGGCCAATGGAAGTCTTTGTTTAGCTCATTCTGATTCCATGACTGTCAAAGGCGGCAGAATTGAGTGTACTCCCAAATTGTTGGCCATCATCAAGACAGCTTTAGAAGTGAGACAATGCTAGATGATTAAATGTAACCTTTTGTTTAAGTTAACACTTTGTGATCATCGGTATTAGTTTTTATGTAGCTTTGAGGTTATAAACAACTTTTCTGCGTTTAAAAGGCAAAGGGAATATAAGTGCAAAAACTCTCTTCAACCTTTTTAAATACAGCAGAAACAAAAAAAATAGCGAAGTGATGCTTCTAAGGAAGACTGAATGATCAGTCCTAAGTGTTTAGTTTAATGGGAACTATACCAACCAAACATGTATTGAAACATGAGCTCAAGGATATCAAATCATTGGCTCTTGATTACATATACCTCCCTTTTCTTTAACAAAGGGGTACAGAACATTTCAAACTATTCTCTGACCTTAGCAAAAAACCCCAAGGTGAAAATAAACAGATAACAGTGAAGATGATGGACACGAGTAATTGCAAGTTTATGGAAACCATTCAGGAGATAATGGGAGGTGACATCGCTTAACGCCCATCACCCTTAAGAGCTAATTAGAGACTGAGCATGCATTCCTTAAAGCAATCAGCAATAAGCCTAGCCTAACCAACACCAATCAGAATGTAATTAATTTTGCTGTGGGTTGTGACTTGGAACAATAGTTAATAAGCAAGAGTGACCAGCATGCACAAGAAGTTTAAAAGTTATGCTACTCTACTGTTCAATCACAAGAAGGCCCTCGAGGTGTGGGGAGAGAGACCAGAGACTGGGTGTCTCTAAGCTGAACTGGAAAAGAAGAGGCATCTTACACCCATAAAGTCACTGCTCTGCCTTAATTGGTATTACTTAATAACCTTAGTAAAAGTATCCAGAGTTACTGCACCAGACTGTCACCTGTTGTCTTATTGGTTAAAGTCTCATGTTAATAAGTTATTATTGGGATTTGAGTTTAAATTGTGACCTGTTGAATTTACAATGTGGACATGGAATGGAAGTTTGCCCTTGTGGGTCAGTTACAAAATAGGGGGCACAGTTTTAAAATTAGGGATTGATCTTCTATGGCAGCAATGAGGAGAATTTACTTTCTCTCAGAGGTTTCTGCAACTTGAAACACTTAGCCTTAGGTGATGGAGGTGCGGTTATTAAAATGTTTTTAAAGGCAGAGATGGATAGATTCTTGTCAAGCAAAGAATTTAAAAGGTCATGGGCGTAGATGAGAATACAGAATGCAAAACACAAGCAGATCAGCCATGATTTTACAGAATGGTGGAGCAGTTTCGAGGTGCCAATTTTTGAAAATTCATTCACAACATGTTGGCATACTTGGCTAGGCCGGTATTTATTACATGTCCCTAATTGCCTTAGGAGGCAGTTAAAAGTCGACCACATTACTGTGGGATTGGGTCACATGTAGGCAGATTTCCTTCCCTAAAAAAAAACGTTAGTGAATTAGATGGGTTTTTGATGATATAAAAGCAAAATACTGCTGATGCTGGAAATCTGAAATTAAAACAGAATGCTGGAGAAACACAGCAGGTCTGGCAGCAGCTGTGGAGACAGAAACCAAAAAGTTAATGAACAGTTATGTGGTTGCCATTAGACTAGCTCTTTATTCTCAATTTTATTGAAGTTTCATCATCTGCCTTTTGGGATTTGAACCAATATCCCCAGAATATTCTGATCCACTAGTTCAGTGATATTACTACTATATCATCACCTTCCTTCCATGTTGTCTATTTCTGTCCTATTTCTTTTGTTCATATCAGCAACACTTAATTGCATGCATTCTCTTTTTGTCAACAAGACTTGTCAGAGCAGCACGAGCAAAATTAGAACTTAAATGTTGATCAAGATCTTACTGTTGTTACCTTCATGGAGAAGTTCCTAAATAAGACAGGGAGACAGAGAGCAAGCAGGCGAGGCAGAGTGTGAGCACAAGTAAAAGAGTCTTGAGGACAAATAGAGAAATCATTTGGCTTGAGCAGCAAAAGGCCTGCATCAGGCAATGTCTTTCTGCTTAATCGGAGAGGAATGGATTAAAACAATTTAGACTAAAAGCAAAACTGCAGATGTCGCAAATACGAAACAAAAATTGCTGGACATATTTGGAAGAATAGGCAGCAATAAGAGGAACTAACATTTTAGATGCAGGTCTTTTGTTACACTGCAGCTTGCAGTAAAGAAAGGGAAAATAAACAATAAAAATGAAGTTGGCAGTGCATTGAATTCTTTGTTTAGCTTTCAACGGCTGCTGGAACCCAAGGATAATAGAACTAGTTTGAGCAATCTCCTTACCATACTGGATAGAAGCTTGGAATAGAAAAAAATTCACATTCATCCAGAGCTTTGGAAAAAAATCAAAAAGTTTTCTAAAAGCATCAATGGAAGTTGGTATAGGCAACTAAAATTAGTCTATTTACTAGCCAGCTCAAAATACATTTTAGTTGAAAACTTACATTAGGAGTTAGTATGAATAAAATGCAAATACGGCAAAGATACTGCTCATACCTGAAGAGTGTACCAGAACGTTAGGGTTAAAGAGCTTGTAGTTTCATTCACTGGATAGTGGCCTGGAATTCCCGTGCAAAACATGATCATGTTGACAAGTGCTAGAAATGTTTGCCAGTGCTCCACTTGCTCCAACAAGGCTCTGTATAAAGGAACAAACACACGCTAGTTGGGAAAGTTTCAATGAACACTTGGCTGCAACATAATTTCAAGAGAATAAAATGATATAGGTAATTCCAAGAATGCAGAAACTCTTAGAACATCCACTTCAATATTATCACCATGCTACTAATAAGTAGTATTCAAGGCAATAATAATTTTACCTCAGCAATGCATCTCATTAACAGGAGAAAACATTAAAACAATGAAGACAGATACAGGCTTCAGTATAACTGTGATTTTTTTTTTTAAAGTCTCTTCACACTTCACCATTTTTCTTAATAACCTTCTAAAATTTTCCTTCTACTCTCCAACTACATCCATGACTATAAGGCTCTCCAATCAAACTAACTTTGGACCAAGCTTTTAGTTATACCTCCCAAGATAATTTTGTAAGCATTGCTGGCAAGGGCAGCATTTATTACCAATCCCTAACAACCCTCAAGAAGGTGATGGCAATCTGCCTTCTTGAACAGCTGACATTAATTCCAAAGGACATTAATTCACCCAACTCAGACTTTACAACAACTGGCAATTTATTTTTTGTTAATGAAATAAACATTTCATTCCAGATTAAATGATTTTAATCGAAAATAACCCTAGTTATCTCAGTGGGATGTGAAGTAGAGTCACTGGAGCATTAGTTCAGACATCTGGATTATTGGTCTGGTAGGCTAGTGTACCTTTTTTTGGCTCAATATTAACTTTAGTCTAATTGCACTTCTGTGAAACACTCTGGGATGTTTTTTCCTAGTTAGAGGGCACTATAAAGTTGCAAGCTAAGGGCTTTTGTGGCACAGTGAAAACATCCCTATTTTTTTGGCCAGAAGGTCAGGATTCAAGTCCCACCTTCCCCAGAAGTGATTAAGTTGATTAAGGTGATTAAAAATACTCCATAACTAAGATATTTTTCATATTTTGTTCAACAAAGCTGATAACAGAATTGTAATAAACCAATCTGACAATGCACAACTGATGTGATTCATTATTGCTCCACTATTCTAGTAACAGCTACGTAATTGGCTTAGGTCTTAATACCTTTCCTGTACCTAATGTTCCATCTTCTTCACGGGTAATTCTGCACAGTACTTCCTACTCCTGAAATTTCCAACGGTAGGAAGTTCCATCAAAAAGTTTGTTCATTTTCACACAAATTACAGGTGTTTACTTCTTTTTTTAAATTACAGTTACTCATTAAGGCTCAACTCTCCAAGTAGAGACCAATATATTTATCATCAATTAGATCAAGAACTCAGAAAAGAGGACCTTACTAAATGCTCGATTTAAACATTTCCAAACTAATCAGATATCTTATTTCATTACAAACTACATTTTCTATGTTTCATTTTTATTTTTTATCCTTTGGCAAGCAACAGTTGTTAAAACAGGATTGAAGTGCAACATAAATAAAATTATTGCAAACCAAACCTCGAGTGATTTTCTCCAAGGGCCACAGCAATTCTGCAGATACCATGTGATGTCTCCATGTCTCCATTTTGTACAGCTTGTCTCAGCTGCTCCTGCAGTTGCAGGACCTGAGGGATCAGCTTCAGTAATGTGTTTACATATCTGCAAGTGTACGTAAGAGGATCCAAGAATTAAAACTATACAAATAACATGATCAACTTTTACTATTTTGAAACTACAAAATACTAACAAATTTAATTCCAAATATTTTGCAGCATTGACTGAAACAGCTACACAGTGCACAAAAGGTTTTATCCTCAAAAAGAAAAACTGCTTTTCCCTAAAGTCTGCTGCAAGTTTAACCTTTTGTTTTCACCACCCTCAGCTTTACATGTTCCTGTAGCTTCCCTTTTTACATCATTCCTCAGCTAAGAAACAAAAAGGACAACTGCTCCCAGGCCTCTGAAATAACAGCTAGAACAGAATTTTAGATAGATAATTATCTAAGTTTTAAAACAAAAACTAAATTTCTTAACTTGATAGTTAAGGCATTCTGGTTGCTTATTTGACAAACAAGAATAAGATTTTTCCAGACCATATTTAAATAGGCGCAAGGGTAAAATAAAAGCAAGGGTTCATATTCTGATGAAGGGTCCAGGCCCGAAACGTCAGCCTTTCTGCTCCTATGATGCTGCTTGGCCTGCTGTGTTCATCCAGCTCTGCACCTTGTGGTCTCGGATTCTCCAGCATCTGCAGTTCCTACTATCTCTGGTTCATATTCTACTCATTTATGATATGACTGGGGAGCTCACGCCCACGATTAGTCCATCCTGCACTATGTAGAAAATCCTAGATACTTCAGGCAATGTCTCTGGCTAGAGAAAGTTGAGCTCTAGGTTTTGGAACTAGGTGCACTACAATGCATGCATGATGCTGAGAGAATCACTGACAGCATATTTGGTAAAATGCAGTCTAAAGAAGTGCAGGCAGAAACAATACAGGTGATTGCCAGACAGAAAAAGACGAGACCAGGCAGGTGGTGATGGAACCCCTTGAATGCATCTAGTTCACAAACATTTTTCAGCCTTGGAAAAGTAAGAGTGAAGGTTTCTCTAAGGAGGCCAGTTAGAGTCAAAGCAATAAGACTGAGTGGTCCAGCTGCTCAGGGATGGAGATAGAAGAAATGTGAATGGACAATATTGGTAATGTGAGGCAGAGAGACAGCCACTGACATCACTCCAGCATGATGCATTACCTCCCAGGTGCCAGGGTAAAGGATATCATGGAATGACTGCAGACATTGGAGGGGAGAGGGTCAACAGCCAGAGGTTGAGGTCCAAGTTCAATCATAAGAGGCAGAAGCAGGTCATTTGACCTAGTGTGTCTACTCTGCCATTCAATGAGATCATGGATGATTTGTTGATCTTCAATCCACTTTCTTGTCTTTCCCCTGTACCCCTTGATTCCTTTAAATGATAATAATTGTCACCCTCAGGCTTGAATACACAGACTCAGCCAGCCTTAACAGATCTCTGGAGTAAAGATTTGCACAGGTTTACCACCCTCAGAGGAAAAAAAAAGTCTTCCTTATCCCTGCCTTCAATGGGCAAGTCCTTATGCTGAGTTTACACCCTCTGATTTTAGACTCTACAACAAGCAGCATGCCATCAAATTTTCTTACCAACAGGGCAAGCCTCCAAGACCTGTGCACAGCAGCAACATCTGGAACCAAGTCAATGCTGTGATTGCTGTGCCGAGGCCAATTACTGTGCACAGAACAGAGTGGCTATGACCAAGCACAGCCACACAAATTAGAGAGAACATTGCCAACAAAGGGAAAATAACCTTTATGCTTCTACCTCATTGAGCCCACTCAAAATTGTGTTTAGATCATCTCTCAATTTTCTACACTTCAAAACTGAACCTCAAAAAATCCTTCCATACCTAGGATCAACCTCGTGAATATCTTCTGAACTTCCTCTAATACTAATTTCCTAGGATGAGAGGATCAAAATTGTTCAGAGTATTCTAAGTGAGATCTGATTAGTGTCTCGTATAGTTTGAGCAAGGCCTTACTGTTTTTATTCCCTTTGAAATAGGGAAGGCATATGGAATGTTGGCCCTCATTAATTGCTGAACTTTGTGTTTCATGCAAGAAGACGCAAAATTCCTTTATGCTGCAGCTTTTTGCAGTCTTTCCCCATTTAATTAGTATTCAGTTCTTCTATTCATCCTGCCAGGGTGCAATCGCATTGTCCCACCCTACATTCCCCCCACCAAGGCTTTTCCCACTCACAACTCGTCTATATCCCTCCATGGACTCACTGTGTCATCCTCACTGCTTGCCTCCCACCTATTTTTTGTCTCATCTGCAAACCTGCTAATAGTATTCACTTTCATCATCCAAGTAATTGATATATATTGCAAATAAGTGTGACCTCAGCACTGATCCCTGTGGCGCTCCACTAGTTACAGGGTGCCACCCTGAAAATCCCAACTACCTACTACCCCGAACAGCACAGGCTCTAATATTAAGTAGTCTCATGTGTGGTACCTTATCAAATGCTTCATGGAAATCCAAACAGATTACATCTAATGGTTCCCCTTTATTTACTCTGCTTGTTACATCCTCAAAGAACTGGAATAAATTGGTCAGGCATAACTCCCCCTTCACAGTACCATGCTGGCTCTGCTTGATTATCTCGTGTTTTTCTAAATGTTCTGCTTTACATCCTTTATAATAGTAACATTTTCTTGATGACATACTAAGATAACTGGCCTATAGTTACCTATTTATCTCCCTCCCTTTTTAAATAAAAGGTGTTACATTACAAGTTTTACGATCTTTTTGGATATTTCTAGAATCTAAGTACTTTTAGAATAATACTGCCAGTGCATCAATTACCTCTGCAGCTCCTTCTTTTAAAATCCTCGAATACCACCCATCAGGCCCAAGTCCTTTATTGGCCTTTGGCTTGATTAGTTTCCTGCATAATTTTTCACGAGTGATAGTTATTGTATTTAGTTCCTTTTCCCATCTCAGTCCTTAGGCCCTTGCTTATTTCCTAATCCTTGAATTCTACTGTGAAGACCAACGTAAACATCTTGTACAACTCTTATGCCATTTCATAGCTCCCCATTATTTCCCAGCCTCATTTTCTGAGGGGCCTAAGTTCACCATTACCTATCTCTTCCTTTTCATATATTTAAATAAGCTTTATTGTCCATTTTCATATTTGCTTGCTAGTTACCCCTCAGTTTATTTTCTGCCTTTTTTTGGTCATCTTACGTTAGCTTTTAAAACTCCCAATTCTCTGGTTCACTGCTATTATTTATAACAATGTAAGTCTATTTCTTTCAAGTTGATACGGTTTGGAAGTTCCCTGGTTAAGCGTCAGTTAATCCCCTTCGCAGAATCCTTCATACGCACTGGGAAGCATCTTTGCTGAGTCATGAAATATCTTTTAAAAACCAATTCCCATTCATCAAACTTTTCTGTTAAACTCCCTTGCTAGTCCACTCAGCCAACTGTGCCTTCATTCCCATATAATTACCCTCATTTAAGCGTAGCACAGTTTCCGATCCGAAGTTTCCAATTCTCAAACTGAATGCTAAGTTCTACCATGTTGGGACCAATGACCTAGAAAGAAACAGAAATGATGTCCTGCAAGCAGACTTTAGAAATTTAGGTAGTAATCGCTGGATATTGCAGTGTCATGCAGTAATCAATACAGGAATAGAACAACAGAGCAGCTGAGGCATGAATATAGAGATGGTGAAGGAAGGAGATTTAGATTCCTGAGGCACTGGAACTGTTTTTGGGCGAGCTAGGACCTGTGCAAGTTGGATTGTTGACATCTGAACAGGAATGGAACCAACATTCCTGCAGGAGGTTTACTAATGCTGGTGGTGAGAATTTAAACTATATTGGCAAGGAAATGGGATCCTTCTAAGGAATTCAGAAAAAGGAGATGCTGAGATGGAGTTATAAATTTAAACGCGAGTAACAGAGTCTGGAAGGCAGTAGAAACATAGGCTAGATAAGAAAGAAGCTAGATTAATAAAGCTAAATGGAATATATTTTAATGCAAGGCACCTGAGCAATAATGAATGAAGAACTTTATCATAGCTATGACAGAGATGTTGCTGGCAGATGGGCAGAATTGGGAGCTTAATATTCCTGGTTGTAGGATAGGCAGATGATAGAGTTGGGGTGCGTGTGTGCGGGGTGGGGGGCTGTGTTGGTGGAGATAGAAGATGATGGGCTGTATAATTGATTAAGAAATCATTAAGAGAGAGGAGGTATAATACTTTGGAGGGATCACCACATTAGGCCATATCAGTGGAAGTGAAATACCCAAAAAAAAGGGGCAAAGATGTTCTGAAGTAGAATTATATCATACTCAAAACATTAACTCTTTCTCTCTCCACAGATGCTGTCAGACCTGCTGAGCTTCTCTAGCACTTTGCATTTATTTTGGGCAAACATACTGTTGGGTGCAGACAGACAGAAGATCAACGTTCAAAGTTTAAGGTTAAGAAAATAAACTTTAAGCAGATACCAAATACAGTAGAGTCCCTACAGGAGTATGAAAAGGGCTGGGTAGGGGCTTCACTTAGAAGGAAATTAGGAAAGAATTCAACAGTAGAATAAAGGAAAAGGAAAGAGAGCAGAGGTACTAGCAGGTTTAGCAGCCTTAAAAATGGATAATTTCGCCGAGGCCAGATGAGATGTATGGCAGGCTATTCATTGAGGCAAGGGAGAAGTTGTCTGGGGTCCTGGCAGTAATTTTCAAATTCTCTCCGGCCACAGGTGAAGTGACCGAGAGCTGCGAATGTTGCCTCACTATTAAAATTAGGAAGAAGGGATAGGAAATTACAGGCCAATGAGTCTCAGCTTGGTTGTGAAAAAAAATATTAGGATGAATTCTGAGGGACAGAATATACCTGTGTTTACAGAGATGCAGATTAATCAGAGTTACGCAGCATGGATTTGGTACCAGGAAGGTTATGTTTGACAAATTGAATTGAATTTTTTTCAAACAGGTAACTGGGGGGATGATGCATTTGATGTGGTCTAAGTGGACTTTAGCAAGGCTTTTGATAAGATCCCTCAAAGCAAACTAAATCAAGAATGTAGGAGTCCAATGGGACGAAGGCAGAGAGGCATGTTGGATCCAAGATTAACTGAGTGGCAGGAAGCAGGGAGTACTGGTAGAGATGTTTGTGGTTGGAAGGCGGTTTCCAGTAGTGTTCTGCAGGGCTCAGCACTAAGGCTCTTGCTAGTTATGGACTACGTTAATTATTTGGACTTAACTATAAGGGGCATAATCAAAATATTCATGGGTGACACAAAAATTAGTAGCGTAATAAACAATAAGGAGGATAGTGTCAACTGCACAAGAATATCATTGAAATGCTCAGTAGTCAGAACAGTGGGATGACACTATGAATGGTAGGACCATGGAAAGCACTGCAGATCAGAAGGGTTTTGATATGTATATCAAACAGATAAGGTGGTTAAAAAGGTAGTAAATGGGACACTTGCCTTTATTAGCCAAGCTACGGAGTACAAGAACAAGGAAGTATGCTAGAACTGTATCAAAACACAAGTTAGGCTACAGATGGAGTACTGAATGCAGTTCTGGTCACCAAATTAAAGGAAGGATGCAAATGCACTACACAGAGGGTATACAGCAGATTTACCAGGATACTCCCTGGGCTGGAGGGGCTAAGATAGGAGGATAGATTGGAGTTGTTTTTCTTGGAGCAACAAGGTTTGAGAGGGGACCCGAAGGAGGTATATAACATTAGGAGGGTCATAGATATT